TTGATGGTTGTCTCTCTATTGGTTGGTGAAATACCCATGAAAATGGGTCAGTCAAGGGGTCAATAACCATCAGTATCTGGTGTCAAGGCCCCCTGTTTGCTGGTTTAGCCCCCAATTATCCCCACCTTTTACCCATCAGATTGCTGGTGAACTCACCATGACCATATTCAACTCATCAACTCATCCCGTTCCGGGGCTCCTGTATGCATCGACTCGTTCCGTGTCCTTAAGCATCTCCTGCCGAGCTGCCGAGTTGGGGAGAATATTTTACCAAAGGAATAGAATGATTTACTGGGTAGAAAAATGAAGATATATATATATAACATTATATTAATATTATATTATATTATACTATATTATATTATATTATATTATAATATAATATATTATAATACAATATAATATAATATATTATTTAATATAATATAATATAATATAATATAGTATAATATAATAATATATTATATTATATTACATTATATTATATTATATTAAATATATATTATATTATATTATATTATATTATATTGTAATATATTATATTATATGTTCTATATATATATACTGAGATGTGATTACTATCAACAATCTGATATATTATTATTATATAAATACTATATTATCAGAATATTATATATTATATGTTATGTTATTCTTTTATTATATTATATTATAAAATATTATATTATATTATATTGTATTAAATGTTTTAAATATATATATATACTGAGATGTGATTACTGTCAACAATCTGATATATTACTATTATTATATATATGCTATATTATATAAATATTATATATTATATTGTAATATATTTTTTATTATATTATATTATGTCATATTATATTATACTATATTATATTAAATTATCATATATTATATTATATTATATTATAGTATAATATATTATATTATATTATACTATTAGATTTAAATATATTATATTATATTTTATGATAATATATTATATAATATTATAGTAGGTTATATTATATTATATTTTATTATATTATATCATATTATAATATTAGATTTTTATATATTATATTATATTATAGTATATTATATTATATTATATAGTAGGTTATATTATATTAAAATATATTATATTATATTATATTAGAATATATTATATTATATTATATTATATTTATATTATTTTTTATTATTATGAATATTGTATAATTATTCATTATATAATATTATATTATATTATAATATAGTATATTATATGAATACTATATATATTATGTTCTTATATTAAATTATATTATATTATATGAACATTATATATTATATGTTCTTATATTATATTAAATTATATTATATTATATCATATTATATTATATCATATTACATTATATCATACTTTATTATATTATATCATAATATATTATATTAAATTATATTATATTATATTGTATTATATTATATTATATATATACACTAAGATGTGATTCTAAATGATATACATTATAATATATTATATTATGTTATGTTATATTATATTATATTATTATATTATATATTATATATTATATTGTACTATATATTATGTTATATTATATTATATTCTATTATGTTAATAATATTTCATATTATAATATTATATAATGTGTATAATATATATATATATCATATATATTTAATGTTATATATAATATGTATATATTATATACATCATATATAATAATATGATATATTTATAGTATAATATAATGTATACATTCTCTATACTTGTATTATTATATTGTATTATATATTTTATTATATATAGTATTATATATGTATATATTATATTTTATATATTACATATTATATATCATTATATATTCATATATTATATATTATATACATATATTATATGCATATTATATATACACATTATTACATATATATTATATTATATATATTACATATATATTATAATATATATATATATGTATTATATATATAATAAATAATATACATACCATATATATATATATTACTATATGTATAACATATTTATATTGTATATACACGTATATCAAATTATATTCTATTAAAATATGTTATATTATATTATATTATATATGGATATGTATATATTGCATATATATATATATATCATATATATATATATTATATATATAATATTATCATATATAATATTATTGTATTATTGTATATATAATATTATTTATATATATTATAATATAGTATTTATCTAATATAATATTATATATATACTGCGATGTGATTACTATCAACAATCTGATGGGTGTGTCTGAAAATGAGAGATTACGCCACAAAAAAAAAAAGAACATTGGTGGTGGGAAGACTTCGGGCAAACTGCCCCATCTTCAGACAAACCCATACTGGGTATACGCGGTATAAAACCACCAAAATGTTGGGATATTTGAATTTGGATCTGAAAATTTGGATCTGACCAATGAATATAGTATTGTATAGTCGTTTAATACATATATATATATAGATGTAATGGGACTAGATGGGGAGATGATATGGGATATAGGGAAATGTATACTCAACAATGTGATATATGAATGTGTCTGAAAAGGGGTTTACCCCTTTTACCCCTAAATCTGCAATTTCGATGAGAAAATGATGATTAACCGTGAGGTTTTGGTGGTGCCATATGTTCAGACAAGCCGAATTCTGGTGTCATGAGGCCTGGAAACACCCAGACATTCCAAGAAGGGGTGACACGTTGCGTCCACGAAAGGTTGGGGATCTCGCCAAAGAATCTACAGTTGACCCAAAAAAACGAATCATTCCAACCATTTCCAACCATTTCCAACCATCATTATCCTGGCATTGGTTTTTGGCGGATTTTTTCGGATGAAATCTGATGAAACCAGCATGAAATCATGGGTTGTTTCCACCTGCGGATTGAAGAATTCTGGTCTCCTCGTGGATCGCGAGGTCTGCGTAGGACTCCAAGTACACCTTGGTTAAAGCCCCATGATTGACCATAAATTGGATTTATGATTTTCGTTAAGGTTGCGCACATGGGATGGATTGATGCTTACATCGTCGTGTTTATAGAAAACGAACCGCAGGATAGACGCCTCATCGTCTTTGTCCTTCTCAGTTGACGTCGTGCGTTTCTCCTGGCAGGCTGTAGACGGCACTGCTCCAAGGCATTTCTCCGCATTGGACATGTGGGGATGGGCTATCGGTGTCGGCCTCCAAAAGAATGAGTGGCTTCATGTCAAACAAATATTAGCGGGCTTCCTATGAGTCATGGGGCATCCCCAATAGCTGGATGTTTTTTTAAATGGAAAATCCCATTACTGGTTGGTGGTTGAGCCGCTCCCCCTCTGAAAAATATGAAAGTCAGTTGGGATCATGACATTCCCAATATAATATATACATATATATATATGTTATATATATGTATATATATAGGTGGAAAGTCATAATCCATTCATAATCCATTCATGTTCCAAACCACCAACCAGCATTAAAAAGGATGATTTCTTGGGGTACCCCCAATGAATGACCATCCTAAGATCCGATCTTCGAGAAAAGCCTGCCAGAATAACTATGGCCACTGTTATCCATACCATTACAATTAAATTCCATGCCAGTATCGGAATAGATGGTTATATAATGTTACATATATATATATTATATACAGTATACATTGGTAAACATGTGTTAAATCAGGGCATGGAATAATAGAAATACCCAATTCGGATGGTGAAGGAGCCTAGAAAAACTATCCCTCAGGGACCATTTTCTGAAGGTAACAGTGTGTTCTACCAACAGAAATCTATCTGAACAATGGGCTTTCATTAGACAAGAAATGGTATCAATATTGCCCTAGCACGGTGCGTAGTACAGTATGAGGTGCATATCTGTGTCTGTGTGTGTGTGCGTGTTGCCAAATAAAATAAGGATGATAGAACCAACAACACCCAATACTGTTAAATTGAGGGCATGTTCTACTCAACAAACCAACAACTGGCTGGTGGGGTATTCAACATAATTTTATCATTGAAGCAATCAAGTAAAGCCACAACATACTACAACAGCGTTCAGTATGCAGACCATGAGATTCACTTTCTTCGCCCACCCGTATGACTCTAGATCACACCCTGCTCAGCAATACGATGCCGGACGTCAAAATGTCAAGGGTGTTTGGCAAAGTCACTCCTTCAAGCCTCTGACCAAACTTGCCGTCAAATCTCAAGCGCCGAAGATTGCTTGGCAGAGTCACTCTTTCCAGGCTCTGATTGAAATGCCGGCCAAATTCCAAGTGCTGGAGACTGCTTGGCAAGGTCACCCGTTCCAGGCTCTGGTTATACTTGCTGCCAAATGTCAAGTTCTGAAGATTGCCTGGCAGAGTCACTCCTTCAAGACTCAGGTTAAATAAATCACCAAATATCAAGTGCTGAAGATTGCTTGGCAGAGTCACTCCTTCCAGGTTCTGATTGAAATTCCGGCCAAATTCCAAGTGCTGGAGATTGCTTGGCAAAGTCAGCTGTTCCAGGCTCTGGTTGTAACTGCTGCCAAATGTCAAGTTCTGAAGATTGCCTGGCAGGGTCACTCCTTCAAGACTCAGGTTAAATAAATCACCAAATATCAAGTGCTGAAGATTGCTTGGCAGAGTCACTCCTTCCAGGCTCTGATTGAAATTCCGGCCAAATTCCAAGTGCTGGAGATTGCTTGGCAAAGTCACCTGTTCCAGGCTCTGGTTGTAACTGCTGCCAAATGTCAAGTTCTGAAGATTGCCTGGCAGGGTCACTCCTTCAAGACTCTGGTTAAATAAATCACCAAATATCAAGCGCTGAAGATTGCCTGGCAGAGTCACTCCTTCCAGGCTCTGATTGAAACTCTGGCCAAATTTCAGATTCTGCAGACTGTTTGGCAGCATTACTCCTTCAAAGCTCCGGTCAAAATGTGTCCTAAATGTCAAGCTCTTAAGACTGCCTGGCAGGGTCACCCCAGCAAGACTCTGGTTAAATGAATCGCCAAATGTCAAGCTCTGAAGATTGCTTGGTAGGGTCACTCCTTTCAGGCTCTGATTGAAATTCCGGCCAAATTCCAAGTGCTGGAGAATGCTTGGCAAGGTCACCCATACAAGGCTCTGGTTGTAACTGTTGCCAAATGTCAAGCTCTGAAGATTGCTTGGCAAAGCCACTCCTATCAGGCTCTGGTTGTAACTGCTGCCAAATGTCAAGCTCTGAAGATTGCTTGGCAGAGCCATTCCTTTGAGGCTCCGGTTAAATGAGGGCCCAAATGTCAAGCGCTGAAGATTGCTTGGCACAGTCACTTCTTCCAGGCTCCGACTGAAATCGCTGCCAAAAATCAGATTCTGCAGACTGCTTGGCAGTGTTACTCCTTCTAGGCTCCAGTTCAATGAAGAGCCGAATGTCAAGCGCTGAAGATTGCTTGGCAGAGCCACTCCTTTCAGACTCTCGTTCAACTTCGCGTTGAATATGGCCCCCTGAGGACTACTTGGTAGATCCACTCCTTCAAGTTTCTGAAAAATATCACTGCCAAATGTCAAGCTCTGAAGATTATTTGGCAGGTCCACTCCTTTCAGTTTCCGCTTAAAATTTCTGCCGAATGTCAAGCTCCGAAGAGTACTTGGCAGGTCCACTCTTTTCAGTGTTTGGTTAAAATCTCTGCCAAATGTCAAGCTCTTAAGATTGCTCGGCAAGGTCACTCCTTCCAGGCTCTGGTTAAATGAAGAGCCGAATGTCAAACTCTGAAGATTGCCTGGCAGAGTCACTCCTTCAAGACTTTGGTTAAATTCATCACCAAATATCAAGTGCTGAAGATTGTTTGGCAGAGTCACTCCTTCCAGGCTCTGGTTGAATGAATTGCAAAATGTCAAGCGCTGCAGGCTCCGTGGCAAATATGTTGTCATTGCATGTGTCTTTCCTTCCATCTGCGTCACGCCTTCTAGTGCGTGCTCTGCTTCAGAGACCGGGAGTCCGTGGAGACAACACCATGCAGCATGCAAATCTGTTGGAATGTAGGTGCAAGAGAGCATTGCATCGCCGACAATGCCTTGCTCTTGCAATGTTTCTTGGAGCAGTAGCCTTGAATGCAGGTGATGCAGGATGGGTTTTCCACCTTTTTTTGGCGGAAGAAGCTGTGAAACCATCTGGTGCACTTCCAAACCCAAAGCCTCACCGCTGACTTTCAAGGTGCATCCTTCACCATTCAGGCATCGTACGTGAAGATCAATCAGCTCCGCTTCGCCACAAGGCAGGTGGTCGCGAAGCGCACCGGCAAGCATTCCTGCCATGACTGCCATGGAGCGGTGCCCGGACTTTGCCGGCGTCCACTGTCTAGCTGATCAAAATTGGGTTGAGCGACGGTCGGAAATATGCCATAACCTCAATTGCCCCAACCAAAAAATAAATGGGTAGTATGATAGATTATGATAGTATGTACCACGTACCCCCTCGTTCATGGCAAGCATTAAACCAGTTTTTAGCCAGAAAAATGCCCGTTCCCATTGTTCTGCGTGCTTGATTCGTACCCCTATTATGGCTTGTGATATTAATTGTGATAATCCCCAACAAACCGGGTAGTACAACCCAGAATCACCAACCAGTAAAGATATGCAAAAAAAAATGGCTCATTTCAGCAGGTCTCCTCCACTCAGATTTTTTGACCCGCTGTAAACGATGGTGAATCCCATCACCCGACTGCTAGATCTCGTTTTTTTTTGGCAAAGTCTCCATCTGGGTTGATCGGTTCCTTACTCCTATTGAACTTTAGGGATAAATACAAAGCAGTGTGGTTTGCTCCTCATTTTGCCTTGAAACATCTTGAAACCATCCTACATCCAACGTGATAAAACCACTCAACCCCATTCATCCGATCATCCCAACCATCCCAACCATCCCAACATATTAATACTCCAAGAAGGCCAGACCAAAAATGAATAAAATAGATCCAATACTCAACCAGGATTTTTCAGGGGCATTCAATCTTTATTCGGGAAGTGATATTCTTTCTATGGGTTATAGCGACTCCCCAAAAAGATTAGAACATCTTCGAAAAAAACCACTCTTTTCCTCTGAATGTTACCCAATTCCATCCGAAATCCACCTTTTTCAGTGGCTACTGTACCGGATCCCGGTAAACATGGCCACTTGGAAATTCCCCATCCATTTTCCGGAAAAACATTGAAAAAGTATCCATTTTCCCATGGGAAAAACATGGAAAAACCCTCCATTTTCCCAGGGTCTCCAGGATCTTGGCGAAGGAGGCCGTGTGTCCCGCCAAGCCGCCCAGCATCGCTTGGAACTCGGGGCTGAGCCCAGCCAGGCCCGGATCCGTGTCGTCCACGCTGTCCATTTTTCGAGAAGGACGTGCGTTGAACGAAGTGGGTTGAATCAGTTGAATGAGAAAATCATAGCAGGAATAGTAATCTAACTACTAATTATCACTAATAGTCATATAGAGTCATATAGAGTCATATAGTAATGGATAATATGATCATATCATAGTTATAGTAGTGGTAGTAATAGTAGCAATAGTAAGAATGGTAGAAATAAATAGTCTTAGTTTGCGCCACATCACCTGCCGCTGGAGTTAGGGGCCTTGAAGATGCTGAAATTGCACGAATCCATCCATTATGTTCATTTCGGACCAAGCTTCAAAAGCGGTTGCTGAGTTCAATGATCTCCTATGTTTCACCCTCTGTGCTTTGTATGGATGTAGTGGATGCCGTTAATCTTGAGATTGCATGTTCCCTTTGTAGTGTGGTAAGCCTCGTTGAGTACTGTGCTGAGACTTGCAACAAGAACGTAGCCGTAATCAGTCGGTCTGTGCTTGTGAGCAAAGTGATGGCTCCGGCAGGCAATCGGCAGGAGCATTCAGTTAGACTCTGTCATCCTAGTTGCATTTATCCATGGCAAGGGTGTAATCTACCAAGCTTCATCGTCCAGCGTTCACTTTATACAGGGGGCTGCAACCTCAAGTTTCGTGCCAAAACCTGCGAATTGACAGCAACTGATGACTAAACCCCCCACGCTTAATGATCAAATATAATGATCAAATATGCTGAAATAACCTCCAACTACCCAAAAAATGGGCAGATTCTACTGCTCCAACTGGCTGCCAAGAACGCCATTGATCAATCGGACCGGGCCAGTCTTTTTCTCGGCCCCTTTTTTGTCTATTGTATATCAAAGAAATCTCCATCAAAGTCGCTCAAAATGACCAAAGAAGCGAACCGCTTACAAGCTTTATCCAGTGCCCACAACAATGAAAGAAAGATCAGCCTGCCATCAAAAAAATGGTTCATCCATTTCTATTATTGCACTTATCCATTTGCATTGTGTATATGTATATGATATTTAATGATATATATATAATATAATATAATATAATATAATATAATATAATAATATAATATAATATAATATAATATAGTATATAATATAATATAATATAGTATAATATAATATAATATAATATAGTATAATATAATATAATATAATATGATATAATATAATATAATATAATTTATATATAATATAATATATATATATCTAATATGTATATATAATATATGTAATATATATATAATATCATATATATAATATATAATATATATATATATATATAATATATATGATATAATATATATGATATTATGTTAATATATATATATATATGTATATACACATAGTGGTACTCGTTGGCTCACCCTGATATCCTGCTGCGCACCAAACCATCAGGGAATTCTCGTGGGGTTTTCAAACCAATGGATCCCATGGCGGATCTTAGATAACCGGGAAAAAAAAAAACGCATCACTGCATCTTATCAGTCTATGTTTTCCATGCATGGCAAAAAGAAACATAGATCTATAATATGTATAATATGTGTATATATATATATACACAATATATATGTATATACAATAATATATATATATACAATATATATATATACAATATACATATATACAATATATATATATATATACAATATATATATACAATATATATATATATACAATATATATATATATACAATATATATATATATACAATATATATATATATACATACACTATATACTATATACATTGATCTCCGCATTTCACATCAATTTCCAGGAAGCCACGACTTTTTTTTTCTGCCAATCTCTGGCGCCTTTTGTGAAACCCACAGTCAGACCTGGCATCTCAGAGGGGCTGAAGGCCACTCGACAACCTTGAGGAACTCAATGGGGATATTGATGGGAATATCGTGTGGATAATCTAGTAATTAGATGTAATTAGTAATGAATGATATTGTAATGAGGGTATAACTGACTGATAACACTGAAATGTAAAGATCCCAGAAAATTTTAGAAAAGAGAATATCATCTCGCAGGCGAAACTACATTGTAGTCTAACCCCCAGTCACTGCCAAACATGATGCAATTCTTTCTTCATTAGTCTCTCATTGTTGTTCAATGGTCACACGGAAATCATTTTTTCGGCCAGTGCTCATTTGGGTGTCAACCCCAGATTATTCAAACCCTGTTTGATTAATTAGGAGCTTTCCCAAATAAATAGTGATCATTTGCCACAAGAATGGTATCTACTGTACCCCCCAAGTAAAACAGCCCAGGGATCACCGCTGGCATCATGGCTTCCCTTTGTTGCCGTACCTTCAGTTGCTACGTGCCTTTGAAGGGACGCAACACCTGGCCTGGGCACGGCTAACAAGTCCCGAATTCCTGGGGTTGGCCCATGGTTTCGTCAATGTAAAATGTTAAAATCAAACCATGTCATAATCATGTCATAACCATGGTTTAACCATGTCATAACCATTTAATTTGATAACCATAACATTTATGTCCCATAACCATGTCATAACCATCTGATAACCATGTCCATCATGCTTTATGTTGGAAAAACGTAACTGGCTGGTCCAGTAGAACCGTCCTGGTCACGCCAAGAAACCATCAAGCAAGTCAGAATGACCTCGGTCGGGTATCACCCCAGACTCCATCGCCTACCCAAACGAGTTACGATTTTTTGGTGTCGAAGGTGTTTCCATGTTTGACCCTAATGTTCCCCATCTTAATCGCCATACATCGCCATACACTGAGGATAAAGAAAAAAGCCAAGCGTCCAAGTCGGAGAAGGGATTTTGTCCTGACTATTGATGACCATATCTCAATTGTTAATTGATGTCCATGTCTAATACTGTCTAATATGTTGGGAATCCAATTTTCATAGTTGATGTCCATTGGTTTTCATTCTTCAATTCTTGTTGATTTCCATGAACATCCCCAGTACATGCTTAATCCTAGATACCCAGCAAAAGGTCGTTAACAATCTGGTTACCAAGTATTATATTAATGTATATCATATGTTCTATCCCCGTTGATGGCAAATGTGTTAAATTATCCGTTAAACTTTACTTTTCTGATATTCTTCGTATAACTTCGAAGTCAACTTCGAAGTCAACTTCGAAGTCAACTACTCCCGGGGCAGAGTAACCATCAACTCATTTTGGGTACCCTCTGGTAATTTAACGTAGCTATGGAAAATCACCATTTTTTATGGGAAAACTCACTATAAATCACCATTTTCAATAGCTTTTTGTTGGCCATTTTCAATAGCTAGTTTACCAGAGGGTCAATTCGGACTGTTTCCCAAGGGTTACGCCAAGGTACGAGGCCCGACACTGCACAGGTGCTCCACTCGGGCACGTAGCGAAAGGTGGACAAGATCAGCTGCACACCGATGTAGGCCACGATGAAGGCCACGCCGTACCTCGGGTCACGGGATGTCAGACAGGGTGGATTTTTCATATGTTTATATAGGTTCAAAATGGTTCAAACATCAGAAATAAAGCTATTTTACCCTACCAAAAAAGTTGTTCTTCTGCTAAGCTTCTGTTATTCTGGCAAAAAAACAGAAACTGGAAGCAGAAGCAAACCCCTACTCTGACCGATACCAATGTACCTGGATGTTCCAAGCTTGCTTGGCAAAGTGGGGTATGGCACCATCGAAGAACAACATACTCCAAGAAAAGATGGATCATTACTTAAGCTACAATTGAGCAGTTCACTAAAAATCTAAGACCCAGCAACCTACTGCCCATTTCAGTCCAACAGCCGCCAAGTCACTTCAATACCTGCGGTGGTGCAAACGGGTAGCATCCCTGTCTACTCTGCCACTTCTTTCTTGCTATGTGGAATCTGAGATAGGGAAGTTAGGTACCAAAAAGTCCCCAGAAGTTCTCTGGCTACCTGAAATCTGGAAATGTCAGTACTGTGCATCACAGGAAAAAACCTGGATTCATTGGAAATCCAGTTACCCGTGAAACCCGTGTTTCTAGAAACGCCAAAAGATGCAAAAAGTGGGGGAGATGGTCACGGATTGCACACCAAATTGTTGGCTCTTAGTCTATCAAGTGCTTCGGAAACTCTTAGTAGCTCATATTGGCTCCCAATTTCGTAGGGAAGGTCACCACCAAACCAATCCCTCCTACTGAACAGTACTATATAGCGTTTGTCTCGACATGGGGGATACCCACAAGTTGCCAAGCACCGAGCTTCAAATGGAATGCCAGCCTGGAAATGGCCCTCGGTTGAACTGGTTTCCCTGTTGGAAACCAACTTGAAAAACCATCCCAGCACTGTAGTTTTATCACTTGTTGAGGATCATACAACATCACGTGGTAAAGCCTACAATAAACCAGCCCATGAATGACTTACCAGAAATGGATCTTAAAATGTTTCATGCAAACCCAAATGGGTAAGCCATCCATGTGCTTTATTTACCAACTTCTTACATAGCATCTACCAACCCCCAGGATGTGCCCCACCGGTCACCTCGATTTGCTGCACCAGGTCATGGACAATGAAAAAGGCGGCACGCAGGGAGAACACCGCCATCACCGTGGAACTGTAGGCGATGAACTGATTTGGCACCTACGTCGCAACGTCGCGGGCGGCGTTGCGGAACGTGGGGCGTCGCGGCACGCGGCCATTCGGGGCCCAGGCTCAAGGTCAACAAAACAAAAAAGACCTGGAGATGGTGGAAATATGATGACATATGAAAATATGATAAAAATATGTGTGCTAGAGCCTACTCTGTCTAATTGAAAACAGTTTGGAGAGTTGGACAGTGCCCAGGCACCGCTGCAATCTTGGCACTGACGCTGTCCAGGGCAAACATCAGATCCGTGATTTCCAACAAAAGAATCACGAAGACTAACCTCAAAGTGGAACACAAATTGGATTTCCAGAACTCGGTCATCAAAACCATTAAACACACTGACAAAAAATCACAGCAGAGGTATCAGATGGTTTGGTGCTTCGGAAACGCAGAAATGGATTCAACTTGAATATCTTTGACTTGACCAAATCAGTGTATAGGTATACAATTCTTGGTCAATACCTACTGTTTTCATACAGAACCCTGGAAGAAACAACGATGCATCGGGTTCACCTCGGATGTTTTGACCCGCCAGAAGTTGACAATAGCTAGCCAAACATTAAAAATATACTGTAGAACATAGAAAGAGCTGTATTATATTATACTATAATATATTATATATATACAATATTATATTATATTATATTATAATATTATATTATATTATATGATAATATTATATTATATATTATATATTATATATTATATATTATATATTATATATTATATATTATATATTATATATTATGTATTATATATTATATATTATATATTATATATTATATATTATATATTATATTATATGTTATATATTATATATTATATATTATATATTATATATTATATATTATATATTATATATAATATATGATATTATATGTTATATATTATATATTATATATTATATGTTATATATTATATATTATATATTATATTATATATTATATATTATATATTATATTATATATTATATATTATATTATATATTATATATTATATATTATATATTATATTATATATTATATATTATATATTATATATTATATATGTTATATTATATATTATATATTATATTATATATTATATATTATATATTATATATTATATATTGTATATTATATATTATATATTATATATTATATATTATATATTATATATTATATAATATATATTATATAATATATTAAATAATATATATTAAATATTATATATTATATATTATATATTATATATAATGTATCATATATTATATATTATATTATATATTATATATTATATTATATATTATATTATATATTATATTATATTATATATTATATTATATTATATATTATATTATATATTATATATTATATTATATATTATATTATATTATATATTATATATTATATTATATATTATATTATATTATATATTATATTATATATTATATGCTATATTATATTATATATTATATGCTATATTATATATTATATTATATATTATATATTATATATTATATATTATATTATATTATATATTATATTATATATTATATTATATTATATATTATATTATATGTTATATTATACTATATTATATTGTACTATATTTTATTATATTATATTGTATTATATTATATTATATATTATATATTATATATTATATATTATATATTATTATTATATATTATATATATTATATATTATATATTATATATTTTATATTATATATTACGTATATATTATATATTTTATATTATATATTATATATTATATATTATATATTATATATTATATATTATATTATATTATCTTATATATATTATATATTATATCTATTCTATTTTATATTATAGAATCTTGTGAATATCAAAATCGGTTTCACCCATAGATCCATCATGATCCATCCATGGCGCTGTTTCCAATGGCCAAGCTGCAAAGTCGCTCGATATTTCCCATCCTGGTACACGAATAACCTGTCATCCCAGGGGTCAGCCCACCCAGATCCACTTTAAGTCGAGGGTCGTGTTTGCACAAATCCTTGTGTACTCTTGGTATATGATATAATATAAATATGTATTACATTACATTACATTATATTATATTATACTATATTATATCATAGTATGTGATATTATATTATATTATACATCATATATATATTATATATCATGTACGAGCCCGCGTCACTCTGACACAAAAGGCCGTAGAAAAAAAATATAATATATATATATATACTTACACAGTATATATTGGATTCTTGGATCAACAACCAGCGACCATCTAACATAACTGGGATGTTGGGAAAGTTGTCTGCAAAGTGTGCGAATGTAGTATGTTGTTGTCTGCTTTGCCAGGCTGTAAATCTCTGATTCCCGCTGTAAGACCTATGGGAGATATCTAGGGGGCCCTTTTTAACAAGCTAAGTCCCAATGGTGTCCTTTTGCCTCCAACTCTTGGTTTGACACACTGCGATTACTATGGCAACGGCTGAAAATCCGATTAAAGCACCTACCCTTCTCATGTTTAGCCAGGGAAGATTCTGAGATGCCATGCCATGTATCTCTGATCTCTGATCACCCACCTGCAAGTCTCGGTGTCGTAGCGTTGCTCCAAGCGTGAACCCAGACAAGCCTCGGGATCAGCGGGAGCCATTCGGATCCTATCAGGTCCTATCACCTTGACCTCGAAGCCTGGCGCCCAACCTTGGTGGCGCGAACCACGTAGGTGTCCACCACATCACCTGGAGATGAGGGGCACCGCAAACACCAACTGAGAGATGTGGTAAAGGGTGGTTGTTACTGGTAGTTGTAGTTGAAGCCATTCAACTTGGAGTCAACAAGAAATGGAACGCACAGAAATTGTTACAGAGATGCCGAAATTGGATTCAATGGGATGGTGCCGGTGATTGGATTCCAACCTGCGGCATCCATCACAACCTGTGGGGGTCAAAACGTACACCATGAATATCCGTGCTATCTCTGGCCAAACGTTCGAAAAGAAAATCGAAAACATTCAAACTGCTTTCCCTTCTCTGTTCCACATGAAGAGCATCTACTAACAGTAACTTTGTGGGAAATCCACCACAGTTGTGGAATGTAAGAAGTAAGTAAAACAGCAAAAATGTTGCGTTCTGTCATCTGATATGAAGCTGATCGAAATCTTCAAATTTCTTCCAAACACAGGATGCAAGGGATTCATGAGGCCGCCCGTCACCACTAACTTCCAACAGGTGCATGTCAACATACAGTATACACCGTTCCAGTGGTTGGCTCACCTACCTTTGTTGCTTTGGGCCTGTGAATGATTTTGTTGGTTCCTGGGCCCCAGGTCGGTGATATACCTGCTGCTGTTGGCACAATCCAATCTTTGTGGCTTGTCCCCATCTTTCGTTGGTAAGACTCCCATTGGTCAACTCCCCCTTTCTATGGCTTAAATGCTTAAATCCCTAGTTCTGTTGGGTAAACCGGTAAACCTTGATTGTCTTGCCAGCCAAAATCCCTGCTAGTAGCCCATGTCCACAAAAGCTTCTGTTTTGGTCCGCAAACGCACCATGTTTGCTGGTTTATCTCCCTGCATTTTTTTTCTTGCAAAACGCCGCGGAAGCCACACCTTCGTTGTCATCTTCAAACATGGCATGTCCACCGCTGGCCATCAGCCTCAGCTCAGTTTGTCACATTGTTTGAGCATCAAAAACTCAGGATCTAACCCGCAAGAACGGTGAAATCATTCCCAAAACATGGAGACCTGACAAAAACGAAAAATCTCGCCTAACAGGGCCTAACATGGAAGATCATGGAAGATCATGGAAGATATGTGTTTTTCTCTCCCAATAAACCACCATGGTTTCTGGGGAGATAACCTTGGCCGCACCTTCTCTGGTGAGGTCGTCAATCCGCCAACCGCATTCGAATGGAACAAAGCCACCAGGATTTCAGCAAAAACGGCCCTCCAAAAACCTAAACCCGTCAGGCAAAGGCATTAAAATGCAATCCGCGCTCCCTCACTGTTTCAGAAAATCTACGAAGAAAACACCTTTAAAATGCTTCCTCAGTAACATTAGAAAAAAATCTATCTTTACAACCAGGGACATGTCTCTTTCAGCGCCAAGCAAATTCCTCCAAGCCACACAATGCCCATGCAGACCTGAAGGATCTTCTCGTGTTTCAAAATGTTTTCTAGTGCCTGAGCAACGAAGAACAGCGTCTGCCCTACCCCTGCGCTTGGTAGGTGATTGAAGAATCCAATAATCTTGATGGTGCACCCGCGTGGATTTGTCTGAAAATGGTGTGAAGTCTTCATCATCGCGTTTCCCATTGGAATCGCGATTCTGGGGTATATTCTCAATGTTTGGACAAGCCCACAAAAAGGGAAAAATCCACTGCCTGCCAATTGTTGGTCCCCATTGATTGTTGGTTTAACATGGTTTAACCGCATGCTTGCATGTTCCCCATAAATGTCACATTAGAACTTCGGATTTTAATACCCCCCTAATATACCATCCCATTGTTTACTGGTTGGTTTTCATAGCTATCCCTATGGCTTGTAGTTCTCCATGGCACCAATCATCCCCCATGGATGAGGGATCCCCAGTCGTCACCATGGGTTTCAATACTAAGTCATGGTCTAATGACTTGGATGATTTGAAGGTCCCCCCCATTTTATAGGAAACCTCCATATCATGTCCCAGATGGAAAAAAACCCTGGTTCTTTGGCAACAAAGGTCCATTAGTGGCAGCCGAGTGGCCAAAAAGAATCCCAAGCGCATCACCACACAGCCCACGATGCCAACAAACAGGGCCTGGCGCGACAACAAAAAAAACTGGATGAAACTAGCTGGTTTTATGATATGTTTCATGGTTTTATCATATTTTGTAGTTCATAAAGTTCACAACCAATGATCGTTAATAATGGACACATGTTTTCACAATTGTCACTATTGCGAAGCTGATGAAGAGGTTACCTCTGGGTCCCAGTACAAGGTGGCTCTTGCTGGATGGGGTTTCCTGCAGACTGTCCCTTCAACCAATTCTGGAAAAAAAAATCTCCATTCTTTGGGTTGTTTCCAACCCTCTGGAAGATTAAGATCATTATAGTCATCCCCAAATAGATGGAAAAGTAAATCCCTACTAATTTGATGGTGATTTACTTTTCCATCTATTTGGGGATGACTATACATATGCTAATGGTAGGTTTTACATGTCATCATATCTCTGTTTTCATTTACGATGATCCACCTGGCCCTTTTTGCCCGCCTTGCGGGTGAGACAGGCCGGGACCCGATAGGTCGTCATGATCAAACTGAAGACCACCAGATTGTCCATCGAGAGCCTGGGAGCTGGTCCCTCCAGAGGGAAGACTGGGAAGACCCAATCTATCCATAGGGATTTGCCATGGTGTTTAATGGTGTTTAATTGAGGGTTTATTATGGGATATATCATCATAACATATCATGACTATATCCTCCAGTAATCAAACATGGTTTGCTGGAAAATTCATCATTTAGTTCGATGGTTATAATATAGATGATTTTTTCCAGCCATAAACCTCCATTTAGTTCGGGGATTTCCCATTGCCACGTTTGATAACCGAAGGGTAAGCATCAAACAGGGTGGTTTTGACCATCAAAAAAATGTGTGTGTGTGTGTTTAATCGTAAATGGGGGTATGACCGCCAAAGATGGGAGGATATATTATATCAGTTGGTTTTAAAAACTCTATATATGTAATATATCCATAAATAGTACAGAATATATATGTATATATGCATATACGTATATATGTATATGTATATATGTATATATGTATATATGTATGTATATATATATGTATATATGCATATATGTATATATGTATATATGTATTTATGTATATATATATATGTATATATGTATATATGTATATATGTATATATGTATATATGTATATATGTATATATGTATATATGTATATATGTATATATGTATATACGTATATATGTATATATGTATATATGTATATATGTATATATGTATATATGTATATATGTATATATGTATATATGTATATAATGTATTGTATTGTAATGTAATGTAATGCAATGTAATGCAATGCAATGCAATGTAACGTAATGCAATGCAATGTAATGTAATGCAATGCAATGTAATGCAATGCAATGTAATGTAATGTAATGCAATGTAATTTAATGTATGTATAGTGGGCAAAACTGTATGTATGTATGTATGCATGTATGCATGTATGCATGTATGCATGTATGCATGTATGCATGTATGCATGCATGCATGCATTATGTATGTATGTATGTATGTAATGTGTGTAATGTATATAATGTATGTAATGTATGTATGTAATGTAATGTAATGTACTGTAATGTAATGTACTGTAATGTAATGTAATGTAATGTAATGTAATGTAATGTATGTAATGTAATGTACTGTTATGTAATGTATGTAATGTATGTAATGTATGTAATGTATGTAATGTATGTAATGTATGTAATGTATGTAATGTCATGTAATGTATGTAATGTCATGTAATGTATGTAATGTATGTAATGTATGTAATGTATGTAATGTATGTAATGTATGTAATGTATGTAATGTATGTAATGTATGTAATGTATGTAATGTAATGTAATGTAATGCAATGTAATGAGATGAGTTGCAAAGGCCCACTTACCTCCAGGGGGGCCACCCCTTTCAGCCTTTGGGTCGTCAAGTCCGGCGTTGGCAGCTCGCCCCGGGAGTCCGGGAGCCACCCACATAGGGCGGTGTTTTCGTTAATGAAACCACCAAACAGTGGTCTATTGAAGAGGCGTTAATCCACAAAAGTTCACTTAACTGCCATTCACCTTGAAATTCATCCGTCAAAATATAAAAGACAACTGATCCCTTAGACTTTCTCTTGATGATGCGGCTAAGGTCTAATGAAAGTCAATTGAGTTTTTGCTGACGACCATATGCCTAAATTCAGTCCCGAGGTCCCTGAGAAGCTAGTCATGCATAGTGACACATCATCAAAAAAGTGCTACAGTCGTTCAACAAACCAGGTGTCCAGTCCAAATCTCCATTTTCGTTGGTCACCTGAATCACCAATCGCTGGCTTTTTGGCTGAAGGGCATCCATTCTAGGGTGAAGCCACTGAACCAGTAGATCGCCTGATCTGGACCATAGAGGTACCTGCCATGGGGCCATGGGGCTATATGGGCCATGGGGCCATGGGCGGCGCTGGGTTATGGTGCCATCGGATTTAAGGGACACCCAATTTGAAAAGACAAGAAATGCCAGCAACTGGTGTTTGGGCCATGCCAAAGATGCATGATGTTCAATTGGGGTAATGTCCCAAAACTGTGGGTCCCTCAAATGCAGGGTGTCTTTGACCCGATGATTTTCAGTCAAAGGACAAGCCATGCCAAAAATGATCCATTTCATGAGGTTCCCCAACACTTCGGCAAATTCCCGCCGACGGTTCGAACGAGTTCAAAACACCCAGATGCTGAAATGCTGGATGGTACGAAAAACAACCCAGTAAGGGCCAGGCAGACGCTGATACCTGCATGTTTTGATGATTTTCATTCCTTTGCACGTGCGACACCACCCACCCAACCGGCACCAGATATGGACGTTGTACAGCATGCCGATGCAAATCCAAAAGATCTGGAGCAGATTTCCGGGTTTGATGTGGCGGTGAGACAGGATGGGTATCCGTATCTTCTTGACGACATGCTGTGTAATGTACTGGGTGTCGTCCAAAAAACTGGGTGAATCACCAAATACTGCAGAAAAAATGCAACGGTTTTAGAATCGTTTCGTATAGAAACACTTTGCAGGAATATTGACACTATCTTGACAGTCAGGATCAGATGGACCCATCTAGTGAATACATGTATCTGCTACTGCATGTTTTTATGGAATCCTGATACTGGCCACTGCACTCACTAGCCCAAGGTTGATAGAAATAAGGCCATGTGGGATACTTACCCATACTCAGCACCATTTCCAGTGAAATTGCAGCGAGGTTGTTTGAAATACAGTAAGTATTTAAAGTCCCGTTTCTAGTTAGTGAAATCCCAAACCGACCAAAATATCCCCATTGATATGCCTATATATATATATACACATGATAATATAACATAACATGATATTACATTACATTACATTAAATTAAAATATATTATATTATATTATATCATATATCATATTTAATATTGTATTATATATTTAAAATATATATATATATTATTATATATTATACTATACAAAAATTAAATTAAATCATTAATTATAGTTATAATTAAATCATATTATATCATGTTCTATTATGTCTTTAATTATATTATGTATTATATGATATTAAATGATATTATACTACATTATATTATCACATGTTATATTATATTATAGTATATTCTATTATATTATAGTCTATAAATTGTTATTTTATAGTCGATTATATTATATATAATATGTTGTATTATATATTATATGCTGTATTATATGATATATAATTTAATTTTATATCATATTATATCAAAATATATCATATTACCTTTTTATTACATTATATTATATTTTGCTTTATTATATATTATATGTTATATTAAATGTTAAATCATAGTATATTATATATATATCATATACTAAATATATTATATATCATATATGTTATATATTATAGTCTATATTATATTATATTATATTATATATGGTATTACATATATTATGTTAGTAAAAAAATGCGTACTATTACATATAGTAAGTATTGTTTAAAATAATATATCCTTTAAAAAATATATTGTATATTATATGATATATAATATTATACTATATATATATTGCATAATATAGTCAAAAATATATGATATAATGCTATATAATATAATATTTAAAACATATATTATATTATATTATATTATGTTATATTATATTAAATCATTTTATTTTATTTTATTTTGTATGCTTTGTATTGTATAATATCGTTTATTTATTTCATATTTTATAATATATCTTGTTTTTGTTATATTATATAGTACATTAAATCAATAAATATCACTATATATTATATATGTTATTGAATATTATATAGTACTATATATGCCATATATATACACATGCCCATCATATCCATATGTCTATCCAAAATTTGGGCGGTCGAAATTTACAGGCCCTTGCTCCCTTCCTCCCTTGCGACCCACGTGCTCCCGGACGGTCAACGCCACATGATTTCGCAGGTTGGAGCGCACCTTTCGCAAGACCTGGGGATGATTTTGGAAGATCCCAGAAAGATAGAAAAGTGATCTATAAGTACGTATCATGATCTATCACGATTTTTGCAGTGCCCACTGAGCTCTGGAGTTTTGCGGTTGAGGTCCGGCAGTGCCCACTGCGATCTGGAGCTCGCGGTTGAGGAGCTGGAGGAGAAGGAGAAGGAGGAGGGCGGGACGCACCTCTGATAAAATCTAGAGGCCCTCACCTGGCAGGTGGGGCACTGCCGGACCTCAACCGCGAGTGCCAGATGTCAGTGGGCACTGCCGGATCTCAACGGCGAGCGCCAGAGCTCAGTGGATACGGACCTCAACTGCGAGAGCCAGATCTCAGTGGGCACTGCGGGACCTCAATTCCGAGTGCAAGATGTCACATAGAATGTCAGATAGAATGTCAGAAGAGATGTCAGAATATATGCCAGATAGAATGTGCCAAAAAGAATGTCAGAATATATGTCAGACAGAATGTCAGAATATATGCCAGATAGAATTTCAGTTGGTGGGGATCACTCGAAAAAAGTAATTCAGTAGGATTTTGCCGCATTGTATTTTTGGGGCTAGAAATAATCCATATTGCAGGGCTTGAGGGGATGACCCAATCCAAACTACCTTTGGACTATCATAGATTGCCATTGCTAAGTGGCATTCGTTCTTCTGTGAATCATGGGGATTTGATTACTCGCTTTCAAGCCTATTTTTTCTTGGGTATCCATGTCTCCGGATCATTCATCGGCAAAATTAGGGGTTGAACAAGGAAAGGTGGGTAGTATAACGAGCAATAAAAGGAATAAAACCAACCATTAACCAATATGTCCAACAATTCTGCATGATTTCTTAAAAGAATGATTTCAAGATATCCGGAGACATGGTAAGTGGTTCACAGCCCCGAGTCATGTGTGCATACGATATATAATTATGAGTGTATATATATATATATTTATTTATGGAGATTTATGGGGCATATGTGGGTTTCCATAAATGGAGGTACCCCAAAAATGGATGGTTTATAGTGGAAAATCCTATTAAAATGGATGATTTAGGGGTACCCCGATTTTAGGAAACCTCCATATGGGATAACCCCAGAGAACCATGGTGCATCCCACTTTGATAAAACACTCTGTGGACACCATTTGGATCCCCACTTCAGTGATTTCCAGGGTTTGTCCCGCAATTACTTCCTTACTAAGTGACTATAGCACCCATCTACCAGTAACCATAGTCCTAAGTCACTAGTTCCACACTAGTTCCACGTCTGAGTCTCACTGTTTTCCCCGGCCCACTGCTACTGTGCGTCTGGGAAGCAAAGAAGTCCAGTAGCAGTAGAAAGAAGACGC